GGAACGAAGTAGCCCTCAGCAAAATAAGTCACTTTGATTTCGTCATTTTTGTTTCGTCTTTGAAATAAATTCTTAGAATATCTTTTGACTACAGATAAGTGCACTAAGCTTCATAAAATTTTATTTCGTCCTTCTAGTCAATCCTGTGCAGTGAAGAGTAAAAGGGCCTAGTCAACGAATACACGTATAGTCTACCCAGACAAAGCACTTACAATGAACAGCAGTCGGTAACGGTCCGCTTACATCTGCGGTGAAATCTACTGAAGCGTATTTGAATGCTGAGTTTAACTCCCTTCTGAAGATTTATTTGATCTACAGCACTCTGATCGGTAGACTGCGTTCTATCGTACAAAATGGTCATTTTTGCACGACTAGATTTCCAAGACCCGATGAGCCTTATGATTTGTGAAGAAGGGCAGCTTGAGTCTGTGATGAATGGTGAAATCAGTGGTCCCCTCTTTGAGTGCAGCCCAGTCTCCCTTATATTGGACCCCTTAACAGCATAAAACTTATGCAAATCCCACTGATCGCTCTCACAGCTTACCAAATCCTGTGTTCCTTTCCCAGGGCTTTTCTGTAGTTGCTGATCCTCCTATGCCACTTAGGCAACAGCATGAGCCGTCCGTCCACTATAGCTACAGTTATCACTCACCTTCTATGTGTTACAGTACATAAGGGCGTAAGATCAAAAGAAAAAGTCAACTTGTTCTTTTTTCAAAATTACGCAGGCACTGGAGCCCAAGAACTTGAGAAGCCACTTGCAAGTGGGTAACTTGCAAGAACATTCGACATTATGCGCCTGAGAAGCACAAATTCAATTCTCACAATGCTCTAAAAATTTCAGACAGTCAAAAGTAATGACTTCCATGCGAATGTTTTACCCATTCGCCTCCTCCTCCCCCTTCTCCTCTACACTCGCGTCATTGTCTTTTTCTCTAACCCTTTCACTGAATCTGCCACTCCGACTCTTTATTCTGCGCCTATCTTTGCTTGAGCCTTCTATATTCCTCCACTTCACTCGGAGACCTCTGGCAAATAGAATGAGAGAGAAATGGGTGACGGGTGCCCAGACAGATTAGGAGAAAGGGCAGAATCGACTGGAGATTGATGAATCCGAATTCTGAATAAAGAGGGAGGGTAGTAAGTGGAAATATTCACAGCAATGTAAAATTAGAAACTTCTAGATTAACAGTGAGTTTAAAATTATAATTCTTAAGCGCATTCCACCAAATCCGCTTGCGCCTTACGGTTTCGGTACTGGTTTTGTCTTCTCTCGATATCCAAGACTGCTGTGGATGCTACATAGCCTGTAATAGTTTGGCAAGACGATGCTCACGAATTGAGGCAATCCTTTACCCACTGAAAATATCAGGTTTCTACTTTTGAAAAAAAGAATTTGACTCCTGTCTACCTGCTTGTCAAAGTAGCGGACGTCAAATGGTTTGAGCATATGAAAAAGGGGAGGTGGGATGTGGTTGTTTAAGCGGTGTCTTGTAAAAGTTGGGATATTTTTAGGAGGTAAATATATTTTTAAAGCAAATGAGCTGGAACCATTCGTAAATGTAGCCAAGTTATTCGATTTTGAACATTGAATTACGTAAGGCATTATAACTTTGGGGTGTGTATGACCGAACTGCGACCATCTCAACCATTCGGTGGTTTATCTCGGACGGAGTGAGCCTTATTAAGGTCAGTGATCGGGTGGCCTCCTAAATGTAGAATATTCTTTTCCATGTCGCTGTCCTTAAAAATATTTCAACTTAGCGCCCTTTTCAGCAAAAGGAGAAATTGCTTAATTTGGAATTTATTGGGGAATTGGTAAGATGCTTTGCATATGTGGGGGGGGGGTGTGAAAACGAATTACGAGCTAAGGAGAGACAGCGCTATGCTTATTAAAGTGTCCTTTATCCTGCCTTCATTATCAAGACAGAGAATTTGTAAATTTCAAGTTGATGCGAAAATTATAACTCCAGAGCCACCTCTCTCTATCCTCTTCTCCCCAGCCAGCACTTCGTTTCCTATTTTCCGTCCCACTCCATCTGCGAGGGATGAGAGGTACATAGTGGCTTAACTTGCAGGTCCTTCCTCAGCTACTCAAACGGTAAAGTAATGTCTGCAAGACCCCGAAATAAGAGACTCCTTCCAGTCATTCTACAGGAGATATACCTTGCTTAAGTGTAGAGTCTATCGTCGCGGGTGGCAAGATCTTACTCGCTGAGGTTTAGGCGCAGTGTAAGCTCGGCCTTTTAGAGGATGAATCCATTATCCTCGTAGAAATGCGTGTTAATAGGGCAGTAAGCGATTCTTCTAGTGATGACTCATGATTGGTCGTTTGATAGGCTATTAGCACTGTAGGTGAGGTGGATAGCCTTGGCTGCCAAGGTTCCTTAATTAATATGGGTGTGAAACATGTACAATTCTGAGGAACTATTTAATTTGCGAGAATTTTCACATTTTCTTGCGTCTTATACCTGGTATCGTACTTAGCCGAATATCGGTACTAGGGTCGGCGTGTTAATATCAAAGTGTTCACATTCGAAAGACCGGTGGATGATTGGAGCACAGAGGGATAAGAGTGGGTTTTATAGCTAGGTACCCTATTTAGATGAACGTCTTAACCTAACTGCATCCCAAA